GCCATCGTGCGTCAATGGCTTTACTTTGTGTATTGCGATCGGCCATCGACTCTTTCGCGGGCGCAGTGTTGGCCGTGGAGAGTGATCGTTCCAGACTTTGGCCTGGTCTCCTCCCATTTGGCACCGAGATCAGCAAGCCGGCCGAGAAGAGCATGCCGGCGATCTGGTTAGGCACAACTCTAATTGCATATTCGCTGCGATCGGAAGATGCCACATCTCGACATTGCTAAGCGCGATCACAAGAAGGCATAAATTGGGATGAATTGTGACAGCCATCTCCGGGGCCTTTCTGAAAAGAGCATTGTCCTCTTTCTTCAGAGGGCAATCTGCCCCGCGTCGATTGACAGGAGAGTTCGGTTCGAACCAGGAAATGGTCAAAGTTTAGCTGGCCCTGCTGGAGACCGCCCCGTTTTGACTCTAGCAGTTTAGTCACTTTAGTGTGAGCTATCCACGATTCCATCTGTCCCTAGACCGAGCAAACCCGCTTGTCACTCGTCAGTCGCATCCTTCGCGTGCAAGCCTAATTCGAGCGGCCCTCGTGGCTTCGCTAGATCAGAGTTTCACGATTCCAACTGCCGTTGATGATTTGTCAGTTGGTACTTGACAGACGCCGGGGCTGTACAAACTTGCTCTAGTGTCGGTGAAGTGAACTGAACGACGCAAAGTGTCAAGTTCATGACCATGACGGAACTTAAGTGCGTTCCCACCGAGACGGAGGATCACCGGAGAACTGAGTCGTGGCCTTGTTGTTATAGCGGTAGGTTACTCAATAGTACAGTACCATTGCAATAGGTACTAGGTAGCTTAGTACTCGTAGTAACGTTACTGTCTTACCAGTCAAAGGGCGGGGACTGACTGACTGACTCCTTCCTGAATGGGCAGCGGTTGGACCCGTCACCATCATCATCATAGTGTAGCTATCGTGCTTGTACAGAGTACGTATGTCTATACATAGTAGTAGTAATAGAGAAGGCGGTCGAGAGTGGTTAGGAGACATGTCAATGGGGTCATTGCTGTGTTCGTCTCGATTACTTTCAATTAAATTACCTGGGTACAAGTAGAGTATTCCGTAGCAGTGGCATCAGCTGCCGATACGAAGACCACAGCCACCGATGACGCAGGCCATCGGCGCACCATCGTCCAGCCAAGCCGCCGAGAGGCTGGTGATGGTTCGAAACTGACAGCCCAGTCGCCACTTCCGAGCGGAGCCTGCAGCGGGAGACCGCATTGGGTCTAGTCTCATGCAGTTTTTGCTTTAGTGGCTGCTACTCGAGTACATATATTTCTGATTGTGGATTTTTGTTCCTTTTTTATTTATTTATTTTTTTTTTGCACCTGTCGCACCAGGATCCCAGACAGATCGTGCAGGGGATGGAGATTGGAACCAGGGTGCCGATCCCAGCCTGGATCTTGCAGAGCGGCAGGGCAGAAAAGATCCCCTTGCCCTAATCTGGCAAGGCGCCAGTAGTCTTCCCTATTTGCTCAGCAATCCTATCGCTGTCGAAGAATTCAGAGAGAAGAAATCAATAATCAAGGTTGTTCAAGTAATCATCGAAAACACATAGCAGAGATAAACAATCAAAACGCTACCCATCTCCTTCAACTAAGCCAACCGGTAATTTTATTAAAGAGGAGAAACACACCCACCCACTCTGAGGAAGAAAGTGGCAGTCGGAAATCCCGACTTGGTTTTTATTTTTATTTCTTTTTCTTTTTTCAATTTTTTTTCTCCTCCGTCTTGGTAGAATCCTTCTAGAAGCATCGTCTTGACCGCCAAAGCATAATTGAATGATTCACTGGAGGACTAAAACTAGACTTCCCTCTTTAGGCAACTTCAACGTCTCACTAAAAGCAACAATAGACTTTCACTATTGTCAAAGTCATATCTTCGAATGATATGCTATGTGGACTAAGGTTGACACAAACAATCCAGGGAAGCCAGGGAAGCCAGGGATTATTTGTCATTCTGGTGTTTGCTGTCGTGTCACCGTCCGCTGGTTCCCGGTTCTTGGGATCCGCTGCCAGAAGAGGAGAAAGTGGGTGATGTGACACTGGCACTGGCACTGGCACTGGCACTCTGGCACTGGCACTCTGGCACTGGCTGATCGGCTCATCTTGCCTGTCACCTCTGTCGTGCACACCACCCGTTTTACCACTGCTTGTTGGACGGCTCCAGGTTGGTTGGAGGAACCAAGTGTTGCATTCCGCATCGGCGAGAGGGGACTCGAATCGGAGTCGGAAAAAGGAATCGCTGACTTCACCTCTTCACCTCTTCTCCTCTCTATACACTACTCCGTACATACACATGTATAAGTTACTGTGCAGTCCAGCCCACTGCACAGAAACAGGAACAAGCATCGTCAGTTGACTTCAACCTTACTTGGGAGATCGTCTTGGCACGGACTTCCTCCACTCCCACTCACCAATCTGGATCGAGTTCCCCATCCAACCAACCATTCAAAGAGTGGAATGCACTCAGTAAGAAACTTTTCTCTGGAACGTAACTGACATCATCGCCGGTTCCAGGATGTCTTACCCGCTTCAAGGTTCCATTTTCCTCCTGACTGAGCCTCTCCCACGAGATGCCTTTCCCCCTCCCCCCCTCCTTCTCTCTCTAACCCCTCCTCAATCCACACCCACCGCTGCGGCATGGTTTGATACGACGGTGGGAAAATCCCCCGAAGATTCCCCAGTTTGTCTGCCACATCTCCCCCCCCCCCCCTTTCCCTGGGTCCCGAACCCAATCGCAGATACCAACTGCCTGGTTGAGAATGGCGTTTCAATAGCCTGAGACTCTATTGCATCTCTAGTTTCAAACTCAAGCCTTTCATTCCCCATCTGCCTCGCTCCCCCAAGCCACCGCATCACCGATCACGGACATCCCCCGTCCTTCGCCTTTCACCCCCACCAAACACAATACCTTTCTAGAACATGGTAAAGAAAAACTTCGGAGTTCATCACCAAGCTCGACCACCGGGTTCCGAGTGCAGTAAACGGAGAGTCACACCATGGGGACGATCTGGCCAATAGCGCCCCGTCGGTTCCTCCTGCGACTCTGCAAACCCTTCCCCCTCCCCTTCAAGCCTTGCGGACCCAGCAGTTCGTCTTCATGCACGCGGAGGATCGACGGACGATGATGATGCTGTGAGTTGCCCCTGCAGGTGGTAAGGACTACGGACTACGGATCCGAAGGATTTCCCTCCAGACTGCCATGACGATTTGTCCGGCTGCTTCGGCTCGCTCTGGTTGCTTTTTTTCTTTTTGGTGTCTTTTTTCAGGTCTTCCCCAAAATAGACTTGACGGCCGTTGTTTGAGGCCTTAGACCATGCTTTTGGCGTGGTTGTGCTTGCCAGGCTTGTCATCTGCCACCGCTTCAAATGAACTGGTCCAGCGGAGTCAACACTCAGGGGGAGTGGATAGATAGGGTTGGCAATTCGAACGCCGAATTGCGTTCGCGTTTGCCACAATAATGAGACGGTTGCATTCATATCGAGATGTGCCTTGGTTCCGACCAATGTTCCAACGACCCTCCCCCCTCACCTCCTCCGACCCTCCGCTAAGTCAAGATGAGCATTAAGGCCTTTAGTGGCTGTTCGATTCCCTTATGCATTACTAGTGAACTTGGGTGCCATGAATTGTCGACCAGCCCTCCCCTGCAGCTGTTCAAAATAGACGGTTATATAGTTGGTCCATGATAATCTTTGGGGTGGGAAAAAAGCCACTTGGCTTTAGCTTCCAACTCTAATCTCCATTGTGGCTCGATACGAGAAAGAAGTACGATCCATCCGGTCCGGCTCAACCCTACAAGGTTCCTGGCACTAAGTTCACCGTGTTTATCTCATTCTCAAGTCACTTGCATACTACTCACACGAGGGGGTTGGCAAGCCTCTTTTCCCCACTACGAATCAGGCACCCGTTTCTTCTCTCTGTGTGTCTTCTATCGCAGATGACGGCCATGGATGAAATCGGAGCATTAGACGAGGAGGTGCCAGAGATGGGGGACAGATGCTTCTATGTTTGGAGGTCTGGTTCTTCTGTCTAAAACGTCTCAGATCCTCTCGAGGTATGCCGTGTGTGTGGGTGTGTGACTTGAAACAACCGAGAACCAGCCAATTTCAAAAGTTCTGAGATGCGTCAACGGGGCTACTTCGATCTGTGCGCATCATGAAATCCTGAGACTCTTCTGAAACTGTCGCGTGCACGTCTTGTCTCCCCAGGACTTGTCACTGCTGACACGGGATAGTGGGGGAAGGAAGGAAGGAAGTATGGGGGTTTCTGGATGATCATAGTCGTAGAAACAAGTGGCTGGCGACTCTAGATTCCAACCCGTTTTGCTCCCTTGCCTCCCCCAGCCCCCCCTTCTGGTTGTCACTGGTAGCATCAGTGATCCTTCGAAGGGTGGTTTGATGCGACCCCCCACCACGTTGCTTCAGATCGTTGCCGTTGACAGTCCGCGGAAGACCATGCGTAGATGTGTAAATGGCTCTACAGGCGGACGATCACCATTTGCGAGACGGTCATCACAGCACTTTACCAGTCATCGCATCTGCAAGTCTATTCTTAGGCCTCCGGCTTTAATCGGGCAATCCTCCTTGTTTCCATCTCCTCCCATGGTAATCTGAAACACGCGAGGAAGGATCGATCGCAAGAGCATCAACATTGTAAATCTGTCAAGCGTCGGGCACGAAGACCTCGCTCAGCTAGGCCACGGGTAATACCCCGTGACCACTGGCAGTCCTTCCGAAGTGGGAAGAATGGAAGTGTCACGGGCAGGCCGCTGCCAGTACTCAGTATGTGACAGGCAGGGGTTTCAACCATTGAGCGTGCACACGTACCACTCTGCCCATGATAGATTCCATCCCGCCCTGATGTCACCTAATCCTGATTAATGCCTTTGGCCTGGTGGTTATGGAGGTGCCATCATGACAATGGATATATGAAACGATCATCCTCATATTCTGCTACCATCCCAGTTAGCAATCCTTCCCTTCCTTCCTCATAATCCCCGAATATATCCCCACAGCGACTACTACTACTACTACTACTACTACTACTACTACAACCCAACCCGATCTCGCTCGCGCCTGATTGATACCCGGCCAATGACCTGCCTAGAATTCGATATATGTAGCAGTTGAATACCAAGCTCCTTCCAAGTCACCAGGTATGCAAGAGATATAAGATGTTCACAGAGCCTGCTAAACTATCTCAATGATAGAACTAGCAAGCTACTTCCCATCAAATACTCTCATTAGAATACAAACTAACACTATGTGCGCTGTCGGGTCTTTCCCCACCCACGCCGTGGGACTTGGTGTATACTATACTTCGATATAGACGGCTGAACCACATGCCCCGTCGAGATATCTTTTGCCCGTGACGTCTACGGCAGGAGCAGCAGCAGCAGCAGATTGACACACACACACACACACACATACATATATACATATATATATATACACATACTCCAGCTCACAGAAAAGCCATCAAAGTCCACCCCGGGATCTCCGAAGTCCGCAGCCCAATAACCATGATCGCGACTTCCGCACTCCTTGTTTGGTCTAACCCTTCTCTCTACCTTATATTGACATTTTGTTGTTGCACAACAGTCAACGACTCGATCTCTGTCCGCGCAGGTGGTTAGATGCGCTCGATAGATTTAGCCGAGCATGAGCACGCTGCTGAAATGCCAGCCCCAGCCGGTCTTGGTTCCTTGCGCCGGGGAACTTACCCGTACCTAGTATCCTGGGTCTAATTCGGGATATATAGAAGTACATTTCTCCTTGGGAGGCTGCGCGGAAGGCAGTGATTCTGCTGGCAGACAGTATCGATCTCGTTGTTATCATCTGGCTCTACTCTACTTCGGGGATCGTGATGATGCGGTTTCTAATGTGTGGTGCGTGGCAAGCTTGTTGTACCCAAGATAACACTGAATCATGAGTCAAGACAGGAACTTTGATTGGTTGGCAAGATGAAAATCGTGAGCAAGACGAAGGCTTTTATATTCCAATAAGCAAGGGCTACCATCATCATTGGTACCTCAGTCTTCTCACCGACCGCTGCCTCTCAGCGCTGCATTGGCATCTCCAGTGTCATCTACCTTGGCATATCCTCAGTGCCACTTACAATGAACAGACTGGATCATATCGCTTCATTAGGAATAACATGAATATACATTCATCTTTGTACAAAAACTATTATAGTAGGTATGAACAAGCAGACGACGACAGGCAAAAGTGTCTGGTCTCGGAGAGCTAATTATTGATAAAAGTGTCTGGACTACATAGTGGCGTGCTCCTTAGACAAACATGAGGAGCATAGAGACCAAGCCACCGGCAAGGGATCCAATCATTTGCCCATTTGTCATGTGCATGGCGGAAGCCGCACCGGTGAAAAGAGCACCAGCTGCACTGGACGCGGTTGAGACTGCGGTCACTTGAGCAGTGGAAGACGTAGCCGTCGGAGTGCTGCTGTAGATCCTTTGGAAGCCAGTACTAGACGAGGCAGGAGCAGAAATGTTCTTGCCCCCAGCAGCACCAATGGTCTGAGAGTTAGCTGAGCTAGGTGCCTTGTAGGTGGTTCCCTCCTGCTCAGATTCACTTCCAGTATGGTCTCCAGACTGAGACACTGGCGAGACACCACTGACAGTGACAGGAGCAGTATCAGAGCTAGATCCAGAGGCAGATCCAGAGGCAGATCCAGAGGCAGATCCAGAGGCAGATCCAGAGGCAGATCCAGAGGCAGATCCAGAGGCAGATCCAGATGCAGCACTAGCACCGGAAGAAGAGCCATTGCCAGAGCTAGAGCCAGCAGAGCTATTGTCAGAGCTAGAGCTGGTGAAAGAGCTATTGCCAGAGGCAGAACCAGAGGCAGAACCAGAACCAGAAGCAGCACTAGCACCGGAAGCAGATTCATTATCGGAGCCGGTGGTAGAGGTAGAGCCAGAGCTAGAACCGGCAGAAGAGCCATTGCCAGAGGCAGATCCAGAGGCAGATCCAGAGGCAGCACTAGCACCGGAAGAAGAACCATTGCCAGAGCCGGTGGTAGAGATAGAATCAGAGCTAGAGCCGGCGGAAGAACCATTGCCAGAGCTAGAGCCGGCGGAAGCAGAGCCATTGCCCGAGCTTGAGCTGGTGGAAGCAGAGCCATTGCCCGAGCTGGAGCCAGTAGTGGAGCTGCTACCAGAGGTAGAGCTGGAGACAGAGCCGGAGCTAGAGCCAGCAGGCGAGCCATTGCCAGAGCTAGAGCTGGCGGAAGCAGAGCCACTGCCGGAGCTAGAGCCGGTGGAAGCAGAGCCATTGCCCAAGCTGGAGCCAGCAGAAGAACCATCGCCAGAGCTGGAGCCGGCGGAAGCAGAGCCACTGCCGGAGCTAGAGCCAGCAGAAGAGCTGCTGCCAGAGCTAGTGCCAGCAGAGCTGTTACCAGAGGTGGCACCGGAGCCGGAACTGGGTCCGGCAGAAGAACCATTGCCAGAGCTAGTGCCAGCAGAGCTATTACCAGAGGTAGAGCCGATAGAAGAGCTGCTGCCAGAGCTAGTGCCAGCAGAGCTGTTACCAGAGGTGGCGCCGGAGCCGGAGCTGGTTCCGGCAGAAGAGCCAGTAGAGGAACCAGCATTGGAGCCACTAGGCTTGCTAGTACCAGTGCCAGAAGAAACACCCGAATCGGAGCCAGAGTTGGAGCCAGTAGTAGAGCCCGAGCCCGAGACAACGCCAGGCCCAGACGAGGAGCCGGAAGCTGCACTGGAGCCAGAACTCGATCCATTGCTGGCTGTCGGAAGGGCCGTGGCAGAAGCAGTCACGGGGCACACAGTCGTTGAGACGACCAGAGTCTCGGTAGTAACAAAGGTGCTCTTTGCGGAAGCGGGGCAGTTGGGGACGGTGGAAGGGCACGCCGTGATGGTGGCAGTACGAGTACTGAAGACAGTCGAGGTAGTGCTTCGGCCGTCGTCGCCGCCGGGCAGACCGGTGTTGGATCCTCCTGTAAGCGAGGCACCAGTGGTAGGTTGAGCCTGGGTCATTGTGACAGGGCAGATAGTTGTAGAGACCACCAAAGTCTCGGTTGTCACAAAAGTACTCTTTGCAGAGGCAGGACAGTCCGACACACTCGATGGACAAGCGGTGATGGTTGCAGTACGAGTGCTGAGAATGGTTGATGTAGTGCTTCCGCCCTCCGTTCCGCTCGAGCCGCCTTGGTCAGAAGTTCCAGTGGTTGTCACGATGGCAGTTGGTTGAGTTTGAGACGCTCTTGTGGAGCAAATTGTCTCCGAGACGGTCATAGTCTCAGTGACGTAGGTTGTTCTTCTTGTGGAGGGAGCGCCAGAAGCGATGACACCGCTGCTGGAAGATGCAATAACTGCAACGGAGGAAGAAGGAATGACTGGAGAAGCGGAAGAGACTGGGGAAATAACAGCCACAGAGCTGGGTGCAGAAACAGCAATCTGAGAGGTCAATGCAGACACAGGGGACGAAGAAACAGACAGAGTCACTGCTCCGCTTGAAGAAGGAACCGAGACTGCAATAGTCGAGAAAGGAGAGGCGGCAGGGGTAGAAGGACGTTGACTCAGAGAGCTGACGGCGGCGGATGAAGAGCTGATTCTCGGAATAGCAGCACTAGATGGAGCAGCAGCGCTGGGCGGAAAAGCAACGCTGGACGGTGCGACAGCGCTGGCGGAAGAAGCAGTGCTAAGAGAAGGCACAATCACAGAGACCTGCGACGAGGGTGTGCTGCTGCTGGTAATCACCACTGGTGTCACAGCCGATGGCGTGGGAGAAGTAACCATCGACGATGAGAGCACAGATGGAGATGGCACTTGCAAGGAGGATGTCTGAATTGAAGTGGTGGTTGGAATCACGGTGGATGTTGGGAGTTGCGTAGGGGTAATCGTGATGGTCTGGGTCGAACATGAGGTGACCGCAGGTCCAACAAATTGCACATTGTCCAAATCGATAGCGGCTCCAGCATACTGGGAGGTGCCGGTACAATAGCCATAGATCTCAAAGGTGTGTGTTCCGGCGGTGGTAGGAGTATAGCTGAACGAGAGGGTGTCCCAACCAACCGTGCTTGAAGACACAGACACGGTAGCACTTCCGACGAGGCCGGCGGTGGTGAAAGAGTCAATGTACGCCTTGATATAGCAAGTCATACTGGCGTGAGAGGAAGTCGGCTTGATGCGATATTGGAATGATCCGGTATATTGGCCATTCGTAATGAACGAGCTACTTCTCTGATATAGTAGGACCGTTACCGATGTGCTGGTCGCGCTCGTCTCACTACCAGAATTATTAGCATGCATCCAAGCGTTGAGGGTTCTTGAGAACGGTCGTGTCTCACACATATAGAGAGCCGTCAGCTGCATCGCCTGAGATAACATTGCCAGTGGTTCCCGAGGCAAATCCCCAGCCGGTGATACCACTTTCAAATGACGGATTTGACAGGGGATTGGGCGTGGATGTCGCGCATGTCACCACCTCGGTCTCTTCAGCCGACACAGGGGGAAGAAAGGAGCGCGAAAGCAACAGAAGCGAAACGAGAGACGGTAAGCGAGGCATTGTGGAAAGCGAGTGTGTGTCTGAATAAGAAAGAAAATGAGGCAGAAAGGACCGTCGGTCGGGCTCGTCCACCTGACGGTTGAAGCCAGAGAGGACAGCAAACAGAAGAACGAGAGACCGGTGAAGAGAAACTAAGAAGGAAAGAGTGACTCAATCAGGGATGGAATGGATGGTCGGCTTCAGCTTTTAAGAGATGATGAAGCCGGCGGAAGGCCCCAATCCGTCCCAATCCATCCCATCATTGTCGTCTTAAGCTAGACCGTTTAAACCTCTATTATACGAGAGCTGAAAATAGCCAGGCAAGAAAGGCCGAGCTGCGGCTGAACTGGAAGGTGATTGAGCGATTCAGGGGATTCTTTCATGGTGGCCAAAAGCCTTTTGCATAGTCCCGTACGCTAATATCCACATTCGACAAATTGTAGACATCTTAGCCGAGATAGCTTGTGGCTAGACTGCAGCTGAAAGCCTAAAAAGTCTCTTGATCTTGAAGAAAAAAGTGGAACAACCTTTTCTTAGCGTCCTTTTTCAGGGACAAATCTGGCGAGCAAAGATTTGTTCCATGATTCGTGTGGGTATGGACTATGGAGAAGATATCTTGACTCGTGGTCATGTGCTCCTTTCTGCACGGTACACTAAGCAACTGTGATGGTGAAATGTGCATTAGGTATTTGCTACCAACTAATTCTATGTTTAGTTCCATGATGATGACAGAGATTCCGGATCAACCGTGAACAGATGTTTGAAAACAAAGCCCACCCCGCTAAAGCAACATAATAACAGAGATACCCAAGATAGAACAAAAGCAAAACAGCCCAGTGCGATATACATATGCGAATATATCAACACGTGATACGGTTGGTGTCAATCTAACCCACGATTTCAGAACATTACCAGGTTTCCTGTTCTGAGATTAGCATCCATGAATCAAATAGCCCGACCTTGAGGGTGGAGAACTTACGGCAATGTATTGTCCGGCTTCCTTCTTGTTCGCCCAGAACTGTTTCGCTTCCTCCATATTCAAATTGCCCTTGGCCATGGCAACATCGACGAGAGCGTCCTCGACGCCCTCGCCCATCCCCTTACCGCTACCGCAGACGAAGACTCGGCCGTCCAGAGCATTGATGACAAACCAGACCAGATCAGCTTGATGGCGCACCTCTTCCTGAACATATTTGCTCTCCCCACGGCGGCTTTGCACTACCGTGCGCACCTTCTCCTCATCAACACCCCATTCGCCTCGGTAGAGCTCGTCCAAGAGGGAGTCACGGACGCCCTGCAGGACCCAGACCTTGTTAGCGCAGTTGGCCGACTGGAGGCGTCGCTGTACGAAACCGCGGAAGGGAGCGATGCCAACACCGGCACCAATCAAGAGCATAGGGCCGTCGGAAGTAAACTGCTTGGCCAGCGGGTTGGCCATCAAGCCCCGGAACATAGGGACATGGAGGTCAAGAGTGGAAGGGTCAATGCCCTTCTTCTCCGCCTCGATCACTTGGCGTGCGAGCTGCTCGAGGAATCCAGACCCAACGCCCGTGCGCATGCCCCCCTTCCAATCGTCCGATTCGGCAACAGTCACCGCCACCTCGACCAAACGACGGGTTTGGGTACCCTTATCCTTGCATGAGAGAAGCGGGTCCTGAGAAAGGGAGTAGAACCTCGGCATGAGGGTATTCAAGACAGAGAGAAGATGATCCAGGGGAGGTTGAGATGAGGGAAAAGCGTGCAACAGCTGAGAGACGGTGATGTGCGAGCTAGTACGCAGGTCACAGAAGGCACCTTGTCCCTGAGCGGAGGCGAGGAACGAAAGGATCTTCTTTTCATTTGGTTCACTGGCATACTCGGCGAGCAGTCGGAATAGACCCTTGGTGGGTGCATAGCTCTGAATGTCTGAGCACCAGTTCAGCAATTCCCGCCGCGTGGTGATTAGCTCCCGAGGTTGATCGTCTCCCCAGATCGTGGGCCACCGACCCTTCGTGGTGCGCACGGTGATCTTCTTGTCACGAATCGACTTGGGCACACCCAACAGGTTGAAGATATCATCGACCTCCTCGTCCTTGTTCTTGGGGCATACTCCAATGGCGCCACCCACGACGAAATCGACGCTACCACTCTCGGCAGGGTAGTCTGTTACGTCAATGTCAAAATGATATGTACGCTTCTCGGCACCGGACTTGGTCAATTCTCGGGCATGGTGCAAAGGCGCACGGAAGACGTCATACGGGGGATGAGGTTGGACAAAAGGAGGCGGGTGGTTTGCAGAACCCAGCTGCAGATCTACTGCCGATTTCGGGATTGCAGAAAAAGAGACCGTCTTCTCTGGTAGTGGCACAAGGTTCGTCAATTCGCTGTCCAAGGCGAGGTAAGCGACATTGAGCTTGAGGCTCTCATAGGCCTTGTTGTGCGGAGGAGTGACGACATTGGCTCCAACCGATGGCGTAGGAATGTTGACCAAAGGCTGGCTGCGACAGCAACCACCACCACAGCACAGAGGCTGGAGCTTTTGAGTGCCAGCAACGCCGACATTCTCCAAAATTCTTCTCATATCCTCAGAGTTCTGAGAGATCAGAACAGTGGAGGCCCGACGGGGCTTCTCGGAGCCATCTTCGACGGAGGATTTCTTCAATGATTCTTCCGCATCGGATGAGATCTCTGTGTCGGGCGTCTGGGCAGGCGATGGTGATTCGGAACCGGTGGATTCGGTATCGCGCAATGATGGTGACGAGATGCTGAAATTGATATCGGTTACAGACAGTGCCCGAACTCCACGGGGCTCTTCGGGGACAGGGTTATCGGGGTGAGATGTCGACGATACGGGGATGCTCTTGTGGTCACCACTGGAGGCAAGGGGAGGCTGTGGCGTCGCCAGCCTTGATGAAGGCGGCTGAGGTACGGCGTGAACTACATACACAAAGAAAGGTCAGTCATTTGTCAAGAACTGGGCCATTGTAAATTGACCGCAAGAGTTGGTGGCGTAGGGATAGCGACGGAAGAATGGAAGCAGAAAAGAAAGTATAATTTACCCATTATATCTCGGTGAAGCGGTGTATAGAGCGAAAGAATTGCCCGCCAATTCTGAGCGTGTGACGATATTAGAACAAAGCGCGGAGAGAGAAGATGTTGGGCGGATTGAAGGATCGAGCAAACGTAATTGCTGGTCGACAGTGGAATTAAAAAGAAGGAGGGCCCAACGAAAAGGGATGAGCAAAGGTAGTGGCAATTGAAGACGGTCTACACTAGACCAGTGGACACCGCAAAGCGAGTGGGCATTCAGATAAGGACGGACGACTGATGCAGGGAGCAAGCAGATCGGAAATGAAAGAAATCCCGGAGGATCAGAGCGATGCTGTTTTAGGGAGGTGGAAGATGGATAATAATGTGCCTGGGGCAAGACGGCGCCGGGAGGACGGTTCCGGATGCGCTAGGGTCTGTACGTGTCAGAAAAGATTCTCCCGGTTTGTATGAGACTGTAACTGAATGATAGAATTGAGATTTTGCAAAAGAGCAAGAATGGTTAAGAGAGGAGAGGAAATTGTTGGGGAAATCCTGGAGAAAGAAGAAAGAGAAAAGAAACCGATGAGATAGGGCACGTGCAAAAGCTGCCAATGACGGATTCAAATAGGGGAGAAGAATGCGAGGCGAAAAATCGTAGGGAACAATTATTCAAGAATGAAAGCATGACTTTTTCTGGTTGCCACTCGGTGAGGAAATGTCTCGTACAGGTCCATCCATTGGTTCCAGTTTTCTCTCCACGGTATGTAACAATACCCGTCCACTTCCAGCGACCGTTCGGGAACGTTTATCCCACAACACTGGGGCGTCAATTGACTCAATTCCCATCCGGGGGGTCTTTGCAAAGCCAGAGCGTCCGATAGGCTTGTTCAGTCAATTCTACAGTCTATAAGAACATTACTATACGCTGCTGTGCCAAGCGATCGGGTACTTCAAGCGAACGGACCCCTCCCAGTCTCTCCGCGGGGTAGTCTGGATCTGCAGCTAGCGGGTTGTTTAACTCGAGTCGGTAGGAAATGGGAGGCAAATGAGTGGAAAAGCTATCCCGACTGGGAGACACGGCATCTGCAACCTCAGTAGACTTCTCGTGTTGATTATCATAGTACGTCCAGGTCATCAGAAGTGTTGAACGTCTCGTAGGTACCCCTCCTGAATACTGTCCTGGATAGCATGATCCAAGATGGTTTCATCCGGTGGCCTGACAACGGCAATGAGACGGTACGTAACAACCGCATCAGCAGCCGAGTTACGTTACCGATCTAATCTGATCCGGGTGCGGCCTATTCCTCGGCTAACACACAACTTTTCCTTGCCAGCTGAACGCTTGGCGACGTTGAGGTAATGTCGACCAGAGGATTGCAGGACATATGTCTCAAAAAAACCAAAAACCAGCTCTTACCGTCAACATCTAGTGCAAAGAATAATCTACAGCAGACAATAGTTAGTGGGGGGGATTGTAATGATCAACAGTGCATTCGCGAGGTAATGTGTACGTATTTTTGTTGTGTAGCCGGGGTGTCTCGTTCCGGATCAGATAAGTGGTCGACGGGACTTTTTGCTCCGTGTTCATCCCACTATACTTTTGTCACAGTAAAAATGACCTTTTCAGTCAGTCTGGCATATTTAGAACCAGATTTGAAACGGCATTATTGATCACCCCTTACACGGGATACATTATCCTTCCTACTAGATGCAGATTGTCGGGACTTTATCGACGAGAGCCGGAGCTGGCGGTTGAGCTGCTCGGATTGTGTAACTCATGTGACAGGTCTGGAAACCAAACCGTGTGTGGGGCCCCGTCCGACATCGGCCGACCGGGCGTTTCCGTATCAATCAAATCAATCAATCAGATAGCCGTAGAAGCGCATTCCTTTCCCAACGGGGCTCCATTTCTCCTGGAGAAGGTCATCAGGGGCACAGGAGCAGCGAACCAGTTGACTTAGCGTTCAATCTCTCGAGGGCAGCCGCGTACCCCATAAGATTCACAACCCCCCCCCAGCCCCAGTGTGCCCACATCCCGTTCTCGAAATATCCTAGCAAGGCACCAACCGTGCTAAACAGGTTCTGGAAGCCAAATGTTAATTTTTCATGGCAGCAGCTCCATTAAGTCGATCAGGGGCTGCTGATCCGACTGCAGGGGGCTCTGACTAGGCTCCACGGTTGAATAGAGGGAGGGTTTTTTTTGCTTTGTTGTGCCGCACGTAGCCGTACTTCGCACTCGGGGGGGAAATCCCTGCAATCATCGACTTGGCTAATACAGCGCAAAATCAGGACGAGAGGAAGCATGTCCAAGTATATCCGGTCAAATATCACGTCAAAATTGCGCCATAGAGACGGGCCTCCAACTTCCCAGGCTAAAAGCAGACTAAAATCGGCTCCTTGAACCACTTCTTATCTGATCTTGCTGAAACCCGATTGTGCGGAGCAAGAGTGTAACAAAGCGCAAATTAAATTGGGGCTGGGCTCCTTTCGGATCCAGCAGATTGTCTAGACCGTCGGTTCCTTTCGTTGAGTGGTACGCGGTGGTACTCATAGTACGTTCGAGTAGACAAGACCTCTCTTTCAACCTGCTGGTCCAGTCCCTTCATTCACTCTATCTCCCTTTAATCCAGGACCTGAGTCAGCCCTGGTCTGGCCACCTTAGATACCACCCAAGCCCCGAAGTGCTGTCAATGCCTCTTTCAGATTGGCAGCCTAAACATGCGGTACGAACTGGCGGCGGCATCCGACAGCCTGGGATGATCGGAAACCAAGTCGCCCCTCCCTCCGATCCCTTCCAGACGTCACACCAGCAAACATACATACATGTAAGACGACGTCAAGCTATGTTAACCCCGCAAAGAAAGGGATGCTGCTCTTTTGCCACAGCTCCCTGAGAGTCCAATTCCCCTCTCGGGTTGGCATCATAATGACACCTGTGACTGATGAAGCTGTTATCCTGCACCGAATCGGGCGAGGACCGAACCAGACCAGACCACTTGACGTAACATGAAACTATTCTCGACCTTCACGCAACCTGGCCTGCTAGCCCGGAGAGCCATTTCTGCGACATTTGGTGGGAGAGAGATCGATACCCAACGAACCCATTCTCGTATCTGGGGCCACAGGCTGGGGTTGTGTTGTGTTTAATGTCCGTCCTTAGCCCTAGCCGGAGTTTCTCCGCGGGTTCCAGTAGTACCTCCCGAGTCCCAAATGATGCGGGGTGTGGACTCTGATTTCTAATGACAGGCCCCATGATTCGTTGGTCAGATATGGTGGATTCTTCGAGTCTGCGCTCCCTTCTACTGTGCATCATCAGACAATGAGGGATTTCGCGGAATGATGTCCGTCACATTCACATTAACTAACACAGCTGGCATATCATGCGTCTTTCCAAGGCACTTCTTTTCGAAAATTGGGCATCTGATCACAAGCCTGGAGGATTATTCAAAGATATTATATTCGAGGTCACGGCCACAATCCCTGCATCATTATGACCACACACACACACACACACACACACACACACAGGCACAAAGAACGGAGCCATCCATCCCTGTCCTATATCGGGACGATTTGGTCAAAAACCCGACAGCTACATAAGACATATCTTCTCTGCCGTTAGCCTGCCTCCCCTAAGCGTAGTCACGGAATCTATACACCACCACGAAAAACAAGAGGACGTAACAACAAAAAGCGCACCCGACAGATATAAGAATGACTAGATCGAGTGTACCAACCAGTCTAGCTTTCCTTACCCCCGCCCCCCCTTTAACCCATTCATTTCACAACTCGAATAGAACCGGCTGCTACATGCCATGCTACGACCTGCTGTTTCATTGTAAAGATCAAACCAACCACAGTGGGCAGGCATACTTGCTTTCTGTTTTCTCAGGAAGTGTACCTGCGTTCAAGGCACGGGACGGATCCAGGGTTGTGACTGTCTTACCATTCAAATCGAATTGCTTTCATACACGACAGAGCTTCAGATCAAGCGGAGCGAAGGACGCGTCCTTTTACTTCTATTAGATCACTGACCTATATAAAGCTACCCGTACATTTGACGGAGATCACGATTGCTTCAGAGTCGCCGGGCTTTGCAGGAATGCAAGCCTGCTACAACTCAGTTCAAGATAGCGGCACGGACGTGCTATGACCAACAGCAAAAGACTTTTTTCAGTCAACAGTGGATGGTGGACAGAGGAAAGTCTGCTGGGACTCAATGCTATGACTGACAAGCAGAGATGACTTCATAAGCAGATGGGAGAGAAGGAGATTTTCGAAAGGGGTACGTGGCTTCAACACAGTCAATACAGTGGCCTAGGATCGACTCTTTGCTGCTCATGATGAGGACGCGTAAGTCGGAGGCATTTTATCAAATTGGAAAACCTAGTCTATGTACAAAAGGTTGGGTCTGTCTAAAGAAACCAAAGCATGAATAACGCCTCACCGATGCAAGTTTTGTCGCGCTAATCTCAGCATGTAAACGAGAAAATTGGGGATCGGCTTTCACGATCAGACAGAAGGGCGCCTGAATGGATGCGCCTCAGTGTTCCTGGATTCGAGTTAGCGTCGAGGATTGGAATGACAGCTGGTGTGGCACCTACAGGACGTATTCATCCAGATTTACAACATCCGGCTCGGAGAAGATGAGGTAAAAGTACTTCAGGGTTTCCGCTAGCCAGAAGCTCTCCATGTAATCCAGCTGTGGTGACTCAGGATCGCGCACATCGGCGATTGCAGCGTGGGCAAAGTGCGTCCAAGTCATCTTCTCGATATTCTTAAACATTCGCCATGCAGCATCTTGTAATTTCGTATCGCCGGTGATACGGTACAGTATAAATACAGATTCGATGGCCTCTGGTCTTTGAACAATGTCAGCGCATGAGTATGCCAGCAGGAAGAGAAAACTAACCTGAGGTGATACTTCGGGTCTGGAATATCAACCACCCCCGGCGGCAGCCCGTATGTTTCAATGAGTGATTCGGCCTGCTCGATGGAATTCTGAGAGCTGGACTTCTTCGCCAAGCGGTGTCGCACATCCTGATACCACTTGTTTTCGTCCCACTTGCAATCATTCGGGTCACGACATGCGCTCAGATGGAGTATCTCTGGCATGATACCAGTGGGCATGATATCGTATGCCCAGATGCATCCATCGGCCAACTTCCGCGCGATAGAGAGTTCTTCGGGACGGTCGAATACTTTGGCTCCAATGCCGACAGTGCCACCCAAGAAGCACTTCAGATGTTCCCATTGTGGATCCAGCCTTTCCCTGCTGGGGGAGATCACATTGGCCTGGACGTTCCCAGCGAAAAGAATGTCTTGATTGTCCTTCGTCATTGGGCGGAAGAGGAGACGGCTCTTGAGAGCTTTCATGAACGAGTCGTACATTCCGCGATATTGATTTGTTTGAGCTCCAAGCAGCATATGCTCCTTGGGGAGATACTCGTACGTCGAGTCAGCCATCCCTCCGATTGTAAATCGAGGGTCACTGAATTCCATATCTTGTGCATTCACCATCATAGGCCACAAGCCTGGCAGTTTCGTAAGTCCCTGATTCTCTTCAAAGAAGTCTGTAATCCTTTGAATGGCGTCGAAGTACTTAGGATCCTTGGTCAGCTGAGACATTCGGGTGAATTCCAGACTGAGCGATCCGAGTTCAGCAAGAATAGTTTGTTTACTGGGCATAATGCCGTGACCTCCTGCAGATCTAGAGGCCGGTCAGCACCTGCTCTTATCATACGGATACAGCGCCTCGGGTAGCGCGATCCGTCTGGTCATCGTGATCAAATGTATGTCTGCCTTACCTGGTCCATTCCCATCTGGATTGCGGCATCCTGTTACGGGTGTCGAACGATCCATATATCATGTCCGCAATCTCGGTGGCCTTCCTGAGCAAGATAGGGTATTTTCCATCGGTAAGATCATAGGCTCCCAGAAACCCGCCCAGGTAGCGAATGTTGGTCTCGAAGATATTGATCTGCAGAGCGTGCGTGGTCGAGAAATCGATGCGGTCGAGAGCTTCCAGCGCTTCTTCGAACTCTTTTGTCATGCCCATGATGACCAGAGAATCAAGGGAATCAACCAGCGTAGCTGCCCATCCAGCAAACGTCTCGCGATGGCGCCCACTGAGGGGAGACAGCTCGTCCCGTAGCCAGGCATTGTCTCTGTATCCTTTCCACGCATGTTGGAACGCCTTCTTCACGGCGTTCTGTCTCTTTTTCCTCCTCCATCCAGCAACCCACGACTCTCTTGGGAACTCATACTGTATCTTAGGTATAGCGGATGGTACTGCTGTAGGAAGAGGGATGTAATCCTCGATTGGATGATGTTCGGATTGTTTAGTCCAATGGATTCGATCACCACCTGACGATGCTGAAGTCAAGGTGGGTTGTTGCGCATTGTCATGAGCATGTGAATGTGGTCTCCTGGCGCCGGGCGGTAGACTAGAGAACAGACTGTAGGTGAGACAGATGAGAATCACAGTAGGGAGGAGATAGCTTCTCCGCGAAAGTATCATGGTGATTGGTTTATTATATGAAGTAATGGCGCAAATGGACAGAATTGATTGATTGAGAGAAAGGACAGCCGTTCAAGCTACGGCCAGAAGTTATAATATAGAAACAAGTTTAAGCATCGAGAGGAGGCTCAATACCAGACTCAGGCTGAAGTCACCCCGGGCTTGGGATTCTGAGACCAGTACAAAAGAGCGAACGAATTGGGGGAGTTTCCAGGTTCGCGAGACCTTTGGAAAACAGGTATTGTCTAGGAGAATATGGATGAGAAAAAGACATATGGCCCGTATATAGCCATCAGGGATCGATCACCCCTGGCTGTAGGGGGAGCTCAAGGGCCTTTCCTGCTACTTCAGGTTAAGGCTAGCTCATAAGCATCAGTGTCATTGGTAATTCCAGCATTTTAGGTGGAATGTTGTATCAGACGGGTCAATTGCACTGTCGAACAGCCAGTAATGTGTGGCATGCTGATCGCAAAGAGGAGACAAACCGCATCAGAGTGGCTCAGAAAGTCAACAGAGCTTACCACAGTAAGTAAGAGACGAGCAAGGAAAACAAGCACCGCGGCGGGAGGATCTGCCCATTGCGTAAGCTGGTGGCGCTTTCGACCCTGGCTGGCCGCGGGGCCTTGGATCCCAGGAAATGAAATGGGTTAGTGAGACTCAGATTGGTAGGATTTTCTATTCTTAACCTTTGACATATCCCGTGGGAAACGGCCCCTGGAGAGAGAGGGGGGCGGAAGGGTCTCAGGCTCTGAGCCTCTGAGCCTCTGTTATGGAACTGTAACCCGCCTCTTGGCAGCAATAGCAGCAACACCAGCAGCTCAAGGGAGATTAATTGGGGATTTTATTGGTATCCCGGGAATGCAAGTGAATGAGGCCAGCCAGGGTCTGAAGAGACAGCCTAGACTGCTTGCTAGACTAGAAGCACGCCCGTCGGGGTAGAGAGGGCTGGGTATCGGATAAAACGATGAATGTGGAGTCTGGATGGGCCCAACTTCCAAGGGATCCAGTGCTTTTGCTTGGACTGTGATTAATGGGAGTGGAGGCGGGACTGCGGGCGCACAAAAGCACGGGTGAGGGCGGGAATCTGGTTGTTCCATTCCGTCCCCTCGCTGTTTGCTCTGTTTGTGCTGCGGCCTTATCGACTAGGCATCAACGGCTGGCTTCACTACTTTGGGTTAATTCTTCTATCACTGACAGGCTTAAAGTAAGGCTGATATCTATGATTGTACCTCCACCGTCAAAGTTATAGCATCGTTCCAGCTCCAAGTATTGCTTCAATATACCAAAGACTATATAATAAAGTACAGCAATCAAGTATGTAGAGAGGAACACGAAAACACCCATACTTTTCTTTCAGCCAGTGCTAACACAATAGCAGACAATAACTTACTGCAAAGTATAAGTCTCCATCGACCAGTAACTCAGTCCTATTCTGGGCTTGCTGTCTTAGTCCGTATTCATACTCGACTTTCTCTGCTACCTTGCGCACGTCACCCATCAGACCACACAAAGGTGTGCTGTGCCCAGCTCATACCGTACCGGTCCCATAACGGGGACGCCACCGTCTGCTCAGACAGAATGCCCATCACAGGGTAAATAACCTCTCACTCAGTTGCTCCCATCGAGCTTGATCCTTTTCGACAACTGACTTACCCAACCCCGTGCAGGGTGTACTTCGTCCCTTCCAACCCCAATGCCTCAACGGCACTGGCCACGGTCACCGAGCGCCTCCACACCGCGTTAGCAGAGGAGCCCACCCTCGTCGGCCGGTGGTTCCTGGAGCACAAGCTCATGCGAGACACGCCATCATGCCTTCCAGCGTCTACGCCTCAGCAGCGCCAAGCGCAACCACGATACATGCAGTTCCTCTCCCTCTCCTACCACGCCAACCACGGCTTCATCTACACCTCTGAATCCACCCCGACTAACCCTCCGGCCCCGCCGCCGCCGCCTACGACAGCCGGAGCATCCTCCGGCAGCCCAGCATCATCGTCATCAGCCGCCGGTCCCATGGTGATGACCACCGTCCCGCTCGCATCCAGCAGCACCCTCTTCCACCACTTCGGCTACGCCTGCCAACCCTTCTGGTGCCACCGCCACACCGTCACCGTCCCCGGCGGCGCCGTCTACGACGTGGGCGACTTCCGCGTGCGCGTGGGCGACGTGCGCCAGACGCAGCCGGCGGCCCGAATCCGCGGCACGGTCGTGGAGATCGAATGGCGCGGCCCGTCCTTGGTCAGCTCGATTGCCTCGCAGGCGCTGCTGGCCAAGAAGATGGGTCCCGGTCCGTACGCCGCCACCGCGACTGTTGACGAGGGGGCAGACGGCGACTCCGGCATCGATATGAGCTTCTTTCCGGACGGGGTGGAGGAGGCGGATGTGGACGCGGAGTACGCGGCGAGTGCGGCGCTGGTACGCGAGTTCTGGGCTCGGTTGGGCGTCGAAGGTGCGCGCGAGGCAATCCTGGTGCCGGATGTCGGCAGGGAGGTCAAGGAGCAACTGAGGTGGCTTAAGGCGCACGGTATGCAGAGAGAGTCCGAGGAGAAGCGGGAGCAACAGCCGGACGAAGATCCCGATCCAACGGCGGGAGTGGATTCGGCGAGGCAGTTTATGGAGATTTTCCGGTTCAATCGGTGACAATCCGTATTCGGTGTAGTCTTTATCAATGGAAGAGAAGGCCGAAACGCGGCGGAGCAATTCAGGTGTGTTCCCATTGTAGAAAGATGTCTCTTGGAAGATTGCCAGACTAGCTTACGGATAATGATAATTATGTATGCTACTGTTCTCGGGGCTTTGTTGGTAAATCTGGGTTGGGTTGTGGTATGCTTCCTTTCAAGATTTCTTGGCAGGTCATAAGCCTCAACCCTACAGGGCAAGTTACTTGGCAGCCTGAAATTACATGTCAGGACCTGAGGATCTTTTCTTGTTGGGCTGTTTCGCCTGAGCATAATTACCGCTGAAGCACGACAACTGGAACCTAGGCGGCTAGATTGACTGGCAGGAGGGCTAGAAGGGAGAAGCGACCTGTTACGAGGGCATAAGGATGTGAACATGCAACCCAAAGCATCCTCGGCCAAACCAAGAGAATCCAATCTCTTGTGAAGCACACAGGTATTGTTGTCCCTCATCTGACACGACCAGGCGTGGTCTAGGGTTCATGTCGGCGCTAATATTGTTTGCAACAATGACGACAAAACGTCTATGACAATGGAGAGCGCGCTGATGCCCAACCCCTGGTGACCGTAATCGAATAGATAGACTACAAGAAGCTGTATCAGGAATGAGATGGGATACTGTGGAGTACACTTCTCTGTCCCCACCCTTTCGCTAACAAAAAAAATAAAACAAATTGAATATTAACAGCCATCTATTTTTGCATCATGAGCTGAACAAACTCATTGTCTGGAGGAAGGAGCGAAAATTAGTCATCGGGCGGACACTCAAGCAGGGAATGTGTGAAACATACAGTCAATACGGCCGTCACCATCCTGGTCCGCCTCACGGATCATCTCATCGACTTCGTCATCGGTGAGCTTCTCGCCGATAGAGGTCATGACGTGGCGCAGCTCCGCGGCAGAGATGAAGCCGTTGTTATCGCGATCGAAGACCTTGAAGGCCTCACGGATCTCCTCCTCAGAGTCGGTATCCTTCATCTTACGGGCCATCATGGTAAGGAATTCTGGGCAGCTGTCAATACTATGTCCGGAGCTCGATGCATGGCCATCACATACCGGGAAAGTCGATAGTGCCGTTGTTGTCAGCGTCAACCTCGTTGATCATGTCCTGGAGCTCAGACTCGGAGGGGTTCTGGCCGAGAGAGCGCATAACGGTACCCAACTCCTTGGTGGTAATTTGTCCTGTAGCATGGATTCTGTCAGAAATGCGATCGATTCTTGATAGTTTCTGTGGCGTTTGCGGTATGGTGGCTATAGTGCCAGGTGATGCCAGGCGGGTTTCGTTGAGGGGTAAAGAACTACACTAACCATCGCCATCCTTGTCCTATCAGGGATCACGAGAAACGAATCAGTAAACATTGTTTTATAGCAGACGAGAAAGCATCGGGGTCGCTTACAAAAAGGGAGAAGGCCTCCTTGTACTCGGAAACTTGCTCTTCGGTCAGAGAATCGGCCTAAATGATGGGATGTTAGCAATTCTGACCAGCATTCCAGATCGATCTGCCCCGCAAAGTGGGGGATTTTCAACACAACTGAGCCAAGACCGCGAACAGGAAGATAGACATACCATGGTTAATGAAATATATGTGATGGGATCACGAAAGAATCAAGAAGGAGGTAATGGATCGAGGAATGAAGGAAGAAGAGGGAAACTGTTGGTTTGATAGGAGCGGGCGAAAGTAGTGGGGGGGGGAGGGAGGAGGAGTCGGTAGTGGTGGTGGTGGTGGAAGATGATTTAAGGGGAACCCGAACCCATCATAATAATAAAAGGACCATTGAGCGGGATTGCCTGGCAAGGCGGTCGCTTATGCCCGAAACGTGACCCGCCTGGGCCACCATGTGTCCTCAACTGTCAATTATTATTTATTGCCATGAATAGGTAGTAGTTAGTTACAGTCTGTAGTTGCTATTTTTGCTCGGAAGTGCTTCTGCTGCTGGCTTCAATTGCCGCTGCATGCTTCTCTATTTTCCTGCCAGCCCTGCGTGATGGCTGTGCCCCTCGTGCATTTGCTGTCGTCCCCTCGTGCTCGCACCGCCGCTCGTACTGTTCCAGTTAGGTTACCGCCTAGAAAGCAGTGTCTGGCCGCACCCGTGGATCCCCGGCAGTACCAAAGCTTGAAGGCAGCAAGTTCCGCAGCTGTGTCCCAGGGTCAACTTTATTCAGGTACTTTTCGCTGCAGAGTTCCCTGGCAGTCCATTCACTGCTGCGTTCCTTCTGCTACTTTGAGACTAAATTGTGTCGAATGCGATGATTGTCCCTGTCTGCTGCGTTCCCATCTGCGCGCAAAAATAGTGTTTGGATGGCCACAGCTGGAAACCAACCCAACGGTGGTCCCTTGTTGCACTGAAGAGAGAGATATTCTATGGTTTCTCTTGGGTTATCATCCATACTCCGAGACTGGTCATAGAAAATATGTATCTTTTGTCCTGATACGGTAAGCGATATAGTATACAGACGCAGTTGAAGACCGACTCTCGAACTACGTCGAAGTAATTACAACAATGCCTTTATCTCACTGTAGCCCGGAAGAAGCAGGAGGAGCATGATAC